TAAATTTATTTCAAAGTAACATCAAAATGAGATAAAACTAATAAAATTAATTCTAATAAAATTAAACTATAATATTGATTGAGGGAGGGGTCTAGCTTTATTGTCTTACATGTGCATTTGTCTCAGCTTCAATTTTGGAAAAGACCATTTTTATGGGATTGTTTCTGGACTCTTGTTATTGGTCTATATGTTAGTACCACACAGTTTTAATTATTATTGCTTGTTAGTTTTGAAACTAAAAAATGTGTATTTCATTCTTCTCACTAAAGATTGTTTTTGCAATTCTGGGTCCTTTGTGGTTTCATATGAATTTTAGAATCAGCCTGTCAATTTCTGTAAAAAAAAAAAAAAAAAAGACAGCTGTAATTTTGAGATTTTGATAAGAATCACATTACATCTGTATATCAATTTGGATAGTACTGCCATGTAAGCAATATTAAGTATTTTAATCTATGAACATGAGATGTTTTTTCATTCATTGAGGTCAACATTCAATCTTTATAAAAATTTTTTTATAAAATTTTAGTATGCAAATTTTATGGGGGTTTTTTTTGGGCAGAGGCTACATTATTGTTTAGCTTTTTTTCTGAGGCTACTGTAAAAGGAGTGTTTTGTTTTTTGTTTTTCTTTTAATCTTGGATTATTTGTTGCTAATGTATACAAATACTTTTTATTTTTGTATATTGATTCTTGTATCCAAAACTTCAGTGAATTAATTTATTCTAATAAATATTTTGTGTATTAGGATTTTCCATATGGAAGATCATATTTTCAAATAGAGATTGTTTGACTTACTCCTTTTTCATCTGGTTGCCATTTATTTATTTGTTTTGCTTATCTGCCCTGGCTAGAAACTCTAATACAAAACTGAATAGAAATGCTTAAAAAAAAAAAAATGGGTAACTGGTTTCTTATTCCTCATCTTCAAGAGAAACCATCTAGTCTTCGAAGTTTGCTTCAGGTTGTTGTGGATGTTCTTTAGGAGATTTGAGAAATTTTTGTTTTACCCCTAGTTTGGTTATTAAAAAAAATTTTTTTTTCTCCTGAATCATGAGAGGGCTTTGGTTTTGTCAAATGCTTTCTTTTGTATCTATTGAGATGGCATTTTTTTGTCCTCAGTTTCTTGGTATATTATATTGATTGACCATTTTGTATTCATATATTGGACCATTTTGTATTCCTGAGATAAATTGAACATGGCATTTGTGTACAGTTCCTTTTTACATGTTGCTGGATTCACTTTGCTAGCATTTTATTAAAGGTTTTTGCATCTGTATTCATAAGGGATATTGACTATGATTTTATTGTGATGTCTTTATCAGGGAAACTGATTTCACAGAATGAGTTGTAAAGTGATTCCACTTCTTGTATATATTTAGAAGAATTTGTGAGGCATTAGTTTTAACTCTTTATAAATGTTTGGTGGAATTTGTCAGTGATGCCTCATTCTGGGCCTGTGGGGAGTTTTTTGATTACTGACTCAATCTTCTTATTTATAAGTTTTTGATTATTGACTCAATCTTCTTATTTATAATATAAAGCAAATGCAAATTCTAACATGTATAAGGTGTAGTGTGATACAGCCCAAATTGCATATAAATTTTTATCCTGTTATGAATGCACAAGAAGTCAACTTGAAACTCATACTCTTTAATTATTTAGTTTTTAAAATGTGATTTTTCAGTGTTATCAATGTCTTTATTTGCATTATTTTATAATCGTTGGCTTAGAATTTAAGTGGTTTTGTTTTGTTTTATTTTGTTTTATGTTGCTTTTATCTCAGCAGCAATGCAGCAAGTCTTGGAAAACCTTACGGAGCTGCCCTCATCTACAGGAGCAGAAGAAATAGACCTAATTTTCCTCAAGGGGATTATGGAGAATCCTATTGTAAAATCACTTGCTAAGGTATATTGGTTTATGCATAAGATTATTGGATTATGTTGGAAATCGTTTTTATTAAAAGTCTTTTGAGATACTACTATTTTAGAACTTGGTTGATATGCTTTAGACATAGTTAGCAAGTAGTAAGTAACCCTTATCACATAATGAAATCCTAATGTGGGTGAAAATCAGGCCTTTCTGTTCTTCTTTAAATACAGAATGAAATAACGTTAGTTTTTGGCCTAACGCATTTAAGGTTTAGAGAGATCACAGGAGCACAGTCCTAAAAAGATTCTGGTTCTACCTCTAGTTTTAATAAGAGCAGGTATTGATTATTTTCTTTTACATTATCCACATGTACCTTTTTTCCCATTTATTTTCTTAACTTCCTTTATGTAGTACATTTAAAATTTTTCTTTTTTTGCATAAATTTGACATTTTAAGTCTGTTTCTGTAGTCAACTCTGGAGCAACCTTCTTACTTCATTCATAAATAGTTTACAACCATTTTTAGTGTGGGGGGTCCACTTTTATTTCATTTATCCTACTTCCCCATATGATTATTAATTATTTCTGAAGTATAGTCCCTTCTACTTACCTCTGCTCTCCCATTCTTTACACTTGCTCAAAATGGTTCTGGCTTCCAACAACCTATATGACATGCCTTCTCTGACCTCTCCTTCATATAGTCACTTCATTCTTTTTTCTGTTGTATCCCTAGAATGTTAGTTATATCCTCTCCTATGATCTTTTGAAGGCCAATGTCTTGTTCAAGACTTCTAGAAAATCATACCTTTTACAAAGTATTCCATTAATAAGAATTAGTAAATGAGACAGATTTTTCATTTTGTTCTTGCAGTTACTTGTACTATGTAGAAATGAATCCATTTGCAGATTGCCCAACAGGAATTTTTATTTTTATTATTTTTTATTGCAGTTTTCCCAAGTTTATTACTTATTCCTATATTTCAGTAATAATAGACAGGATATTATTTACCTTTATGTTCAGACTTCTTGTCATTAATCACTTCACCTTGTTGAGATAAAGTAATAACTTCCAGGGCTTGTTAAAATAAGCAGGAGTGTTTAAGTCAATATTAAATAGCTTACCATGCATTTATATTGGTACTTTAAAAATAGTTTTTACCCTTTCCTTGATGTCAAACTGTTATTATTTTTTATTTTCCATGAATCAGTTTTCCCCCTATCCCCAAGTTTATTTAATTAAATGGCTTTTAATCTATAAATATATAAACTATAATAATATTGTGTAAGTCACTTTACAGCATGATTACAGCTTATACAGGTCTTTAAAATATTTTAAAATGTTTTGTCTTTGCAATAGCATTATGAACTTAAAATATACTATTTTGAAAACTAAGACTCAAAGTAGGCAAACATTTTGATTAAGGTCACTTTATTAGTAAATGACAGAGGTAAGGCTTACAGCAGTTGTTCTGGCTTTAAATTCTGTATTGTATCTACTGAAATACAGGTGTTGGGGTGTGTGTGTGTGTGTGTGTGTATGTGTGTGTTCATTCTTAACAACCTCTATGTATAATTTTTTTTATTAATTTTGCCATTGATGATGACCTTCCAGAAGGTCATCTTTCATTATTATTAGCAGTTGAAATGACTGGATAACTTTTGAGCAGGTAAATTGCAACTGTACTCTTGTTAATGAAAATGAAATAAAAAAAGAATCATCATATAATATTCAATATTCAAGCAGATTCTCAGTAAATAAAAGCAATGGTAGCTCTGTATTCCTAAAATGTATATAAAGAAATTGCAGGAGTAAGAAAGGGATACTGAATCACAGGCCAGTGCTTTCAATACAAGTAGAAAACAAAGAGGCATGCATTGCTAGATATTCTTAAAGGTGAGAAAATATGACCAATAATCAGGAGAAAACAAAAGAAGCAGCACCATAGATAGATTGGACTTTGTAAATAAGCATTTTAAAATTACTAATATATTTTACATAATAAAGTTACTAATATATTAAGTTACTAATATATTTTTAATAGAAGAGAAAAACATGGAGACATTTAAAATATTATTAGAAAATCTGAAGTGAAATTAATAATAGACATTTTAGAACTCATTATTTAGGACACA